ATAATGAGAAAATATACTCAAGGCATTAAATGAAAAACAATTTCAACCAAGAATACTATACCCAGCAAGATTATCTTTCATATGAGAAAAAAAGACACAAACATTCTCAGATAAACAAAACCTGAAAGAATTTACCAACACCAGATCAGCTCTCCAAGAAGTGCTAAAAGGAGTGCTGTACCAGGAAAACTAAAGTCTGACACACAGAAATAAGAGTACAAAAAACAACCAAGAGAATGGCCCAGCCTAATGGTAGGGACAAGTGTGGAGTTGAATGTTAACTTCCAGAGTTTACATGACACTGTAATAGAATAGAGATTAATTACATGAGTCTGAACTAGTGAAATTGAACTTTTTTGACTTTAAAACATTACTGATTTTCTTTGATGCTTTGATTTCCATACTTAAGGATTTTTGTCTTCTCTTGAACTGTTAATAGGTTCGTCTAACTACCATTTGAACAGAATCCTAACCTTTTTCCCTGGCTTTAAGTTTTAAGCAAATTTCTCTTAACATTTTTTTATTTAGATCTATTAAATCTAAAACTTTCTCTTGAAATTAAAAATGCATTAAAAATACCTGTTAATAATACCTATTTAATGACTACAGTACGCTGTATAGCCACAGCCAGGTGCTACTTTATAGTATGTTCATTTTACTCACTGAGGCTTACGCCTAAAGTCAGCCATGTGTTCATAGATATGTATGCCTGATATTGAAAGGTTTTAAATTAATTAAAATCTTTAATGAATCAATAAAATGTGAAAAAAAAAAAGGCATGGAACACAACTGTACATACCAGAGACACTGAGAGATGCAGGGTATTGGGAGAAGGTGAGAGATAGGGAATCAAGGGGGGAAAAAAGCAAAATATATAAGAAACAATAAAAAATTATTTGTTGATGATAACATACACGATAATATCCTTGATTGAGCCAATATACAATGTATTCTGGGTGGGGAAAATCTCATTTTGTACACTGTATTGATATATAGTGAATGACTGTACATAGATTAATGAATTAGTTAAATAATAATTTTATTTATTTTTTAGAGGAGTTTTTGCAATAGGACGCTTGCACTCATTGCTGAAACAAAGAGACAGACAGGAAGTGGGAAATCTAACCCCAGGGGGGATGGCCACACTGCAATCCTTTCTCCTCCATGCTCCTCTCAGGTCGACTATGTAGGAGCTACGTAACCATTACACCATCTCCAGGTCCCTCCTAGTTTTATTTATTATAATTTTTAATTTGACCAGAGAGAAGGAGAACGTGAGAAAGCAAGCCAGCAAGTCCAGAACTTGAACCACGGTCAGCCATGTATGGGTCCAGTGCCCTAACTACCATGCCACCTGCCGGCCTCCAAATTATATAAACTTTTAAGTCCCACAAACTTGGATCTGTCTCTGACAGTGGTATTAGACTAGGAGGAAGCAGTTGCAGGAAAGGTAGCTGGAAGAGAAAGCCGGAGCTGGGCCTGTAACTGAGCGGTTAAGTGCTCTGAAGAGGCCAGATCCCACACGGTCGGCTCAGTGAAAAATCTCAGTCCTGGAGACACAATGCCCAGGATCCCAACAAGATGGAGAAATGGAGGAAAAGAGACCGCAGCATAACCAGAGGTATCTCCCTCTCTCTGAAAGGAGGCAGAGGCTGTGACATCAGAGATGTTAATCCAGAAATGTCAAAGGAGGGGCCGGCCAGTGGTGCAGTGGTTAAAAGTGCTGGACTCCCACATGGCTGACCGTGGTTCGAGTCCTAGACCAGGTGGCTTATTCTCTCTCTGTCTCTCTCTGGTCAAAATTGAAAAATAATAATAAAAAATCTTTGTTTTAAAAAAGAATAAAGGAAATGGGGCTGGCCCTGTAGCTTAATGGTTAAGGGAGTCCAATCCCACATGGCTGACTGCAGTTTGAATCCCAGCCCCAGTAGCTTGAAAAATGTGCTGAGCACACATGCATTCATGCCCACAATTCTGATGGGATGAGGAAATGGAAGAGAAGGGATTGTGGCATGGCCCTGCTCCACTGGGAGACACTTTTCCCCCCTCTGTCTATCTCTCTCTGGCAAGTGCACACACCCTTTGGCAATAAAAAGAAAAAAAAAATGGGAGCCAGAAAAGAGTGCACAAGGGAGGGTGCTGGAGAGGAAGGGATGTGCGTTGTCCCCACATTCTCCTTGGGGGTGTGGGTGGAACGGGGAATGGGTGGACTGGAAGGCACTGAGAGAATTAAAGAGAAGGTTCAGGCTTGGGAGAGGAGAGAAGATGGATTACAGGGGACTTTAGCTTCATCCACATTTCATTTTTTTATAAGGAAAGTGTATTTTGGAATGGCCGGTGGCATGGTGGATAAGGCAGCTTCATCCCACATAGCCAACTGCAAGGTTCAAGCCCCAGACCTGGCAGCTTGAGAAACACCAGGTACATGTGCATGCGTGCCCAGACTCCCACAGGAGGGAGGATGCGGTAGAAGGGGTTGTATGGCCAGCCCCGGGAGGAGTTCTTTCTCTGTCTCTCCTGTGCATGCACACCCTCGGACAAAATTTACTGAAAAAAAAAAGGGAGTGTATTCGTGTTGTTTGTGTGACTAATTGTCTTTTTTTGGGGGGGTATTTTGCTATGGTGTACATGTGCTTATTGGAGGGAAACAGAGACAGGGAGAGAAGAAAAGTGAGAAATCACCCCCCAGAGGGGTGGCGCACTGCTCTCCCTTCTCCTCCATTCTCCTCTTGGGACTCCAGGTGCACACACACAGGCCCACGGTGCTTTTCAAGCTTCCAGGTCTGGGACTCAAACCGCAAGTCAGCCATGTGGGATCCAGCACCTTAACCACCATACCACTGACTGGCCCCTGAGGATTGCATAACCACCTTCACACCAATGCTGTGGTCAGTGCTGACCCTCATCGCTGAAATTTGTGTGAATCCTAGAGCCCCTTGCAGCAAGGTGTCTGGGAGAGAATTATTTTTTTGCTGTATTTGATTTTATGTTTCTGGAAATTTTTTTTTTTAAGTTTATTTATCTCTGTAAGAGGGTGAGGGGAACACTCCCTATAGGGTCTTCATGCCCCGATCCACCCCGTCTGAGCTGGCCCTGGTGTGCTTGTAGAGGTGCCAGGATGCAAACCCAGGACCTTTCCCATGTAGGTGCAGTGAGGCTGCCACCATGCCATTGCTGGCCCTCTTCTGTCCTGACAGGCCCGGTGTAGGAATGCGCGGCTGCTTCTCACCGTTCAGTGCCGTCTGTGTGTCCACGGCTGTGACCAGGTGCTGGACTTCGTTCCTACCATCTGTTAGTTCTCTGGGTCTCCCCTCCCGGGATCCCGTTATCCACCGATGGCAAGGTCGAATGTGGCATTTAGATGTGTCCCATCGCTGAGCCTCTGCCTGTGCCATTTCTCCCACCCAGATGCCCTCCTGTTACCCCACTCCAGCCATCTGGTCCACATGGTCCTGGCGCAGCAGAAGATCACTGCGGGTGGTGGCTCTCAGCAACCCTAATGTGCTCTAAAGCCTGCACACTCTCCACGACGCTTTGTTCTTGCCATCTAACACCTGGAGAGAGCGTGCGACTTGGATGTTAAAATGGAAGAATACGTGGCTAGCCTATAGCCTGGTGATTCAGAGAACAAGACCTCTCAGTGTGGCTGACTGTGGTTCGAATCCTGGCCCTGGCTGCTTATAAAATTCTGGGTGCAGGTGCACTTCCCAGAATGTCAACAGGATAGAGAAATGGGAAAGAAGGGACTGAGGTGTGACCACGCCTCATTCGGAGTACTTTCTCCTGCTCCCTCGAACCCTAGGCCGTCTCTCTCTAGTGAGTGACATTTTAAAAAGTTATTATTATTAGAAAGATTTCCGCTATAGGGCACATGCGCTTGACAGAGAGACAGAGAGAGAGAAAGCAAGAAAACAGCCCCCATGGGGGATGGCCATGCTGCAATCCCTTCTCCATTCTCTCCTCAGGATTTTGGTCATGTATGTACATGCACCCAGTGTGAATTTTAAGCCACTGGGTCCAGGACTTGAACTGTGGTTGACTACGTGGGAGTCCAGTGACATAACCATTACACCATCTGCTGGTTCCTCCCTGCCCCTTTTTAAGAGAGATTTTTGCTATAGGGCACATGCACTCGCTGAGGAAATGGCCAGCAACAGCCACCCCCCGCACCCGGTGGGAGGTGGCCACGCTCAAGTCCTTTCTCCTCCATTCTCCTCAAGGGGTTTCGGACACATGCACAATGCCCAGCATGAGTTTCAAGGTGCCAAGTCCAGGACTCGAACTGCAGTTGACTATGTGGGAGTCTATCTGCTGGTCTTGAGTGACACTTTTTTAAAATAAATTAATAAACACCAGGAACACTAGTTTGTGGAGTCAGGACTTGAACCCAGGGCTGTGAACTAAAATAGCTCTGTCTTCTATGGGGTAGTTTTACCCCTAGGGCCCTTGCCTGTCCTGCCAGCCCCTGGGCCCTGTGCTCCGTGGTATTTGTACCTGTGTCTAACGTGCCGGCCAATCATTTGTTCTCTTTCTTGAATAGACTTTTCTGTCCTGGTTTTTAGTTTGCTATAGGGTGTGTATATTTGCCAGAGAGACAGAGAGAGATAGAGAAGGGAAGGGAGAAATTACCCCTTCGAGGGGATGTCCACACACCAATCCCTTCTCCTACACTCTCCTCTTAGGACTTTGGACATACACATACATGTGCCCAGAGTATTTTTAAAGTCATCAGATTCGGGACTTGAGCCACATTATCAGCCAGGTTGGCTCCATCACCTCAACCACCAAGACACACGCTGGCCCTCATCTTCTCACTGTTTAAGGAGAACACCTGGATCTTCCTCCCAAATACAGAGTTCTAATCTGAATCGAGGGCTTTGTCCTGGAGTCTCGGGCCCAGGCTGAGTGCCGAGGAGAGGGGCTGCGGGTCTGGGTGGGTCAGTGTGGCTCTGGGCGGGGTGGTCTCTAACCATCCTCTCCTGTGCATCCCCGCATCCCAGGGCTGCCCATGTACATGAAGTCCCTGCGCTGGGCCCTGGTGGTCATGGCTGTGCTCCTGGCAGTCTCTGCAGTCACCATCGTGGCCTTGGCCTCTAGAACAGGTAGAGTGGCCCCTCCAGTCCCCTCTCCTGCTGCTCCACCTCCAGGGTGGGATCAGCACTTATAGCACCCCGAGAATTGGAAAGACACCCCTGGGGGCAGCTGGAAGACAAGGCTGGGCGAGGTCGAGGGCGACTTGTCCTTTCTCCCACTGGGCACAGCTCACACCCCGACGAGTGGCGTGCTGACCACCAGCCCCAGTCTGCGGCCTTCCTGGGACCTGCCTGCCTCCCGCCTTGCACCCCAGGGCTTGCCAGTCCTGACCCCCAGATCCACCCCTCAGGGTGGCAGCCCCGTCCAGCTCTTTACCCACGGCGGTCTCTGCTTGCAGGAACCGGGTGCCAGCTGTGCCCCCCGGGCTGGCTGTGGTCAGGGGAAGACTGTTACTACCTCTCTGCTGAAGCTCAGGCCTGGG